GCCCTGCTCTGTGCATGACAGGGGGCGGCGCCCCAACTCCCCAATCGGCCCTGCTCTGAGCCTGACCAGGGGCTGCACCTAGGGATTGGGCGTGCCCTCTGCCACCCGGGAGCAGGCCTAAGCCAGCAGGTCGTTATCTCCCGAGGGGTCCCAGACTGCGAGAGGGCACAGGCCGGGCTGGGGGACCCCCCTTTCCCCCCCCCCGCCCCGAGTGCACAAATTTTTGTGCACCGGGCCTCTAGTGTACTATAAAAGATGGGCAAAATGGATGTAGAAAAATCTTTAATGAGGCTACTTTAATAACCCAGATGATAAATGGTGGTAGTTTGGATTAGACTGGCAGTAGTGAATTGATATGTAGGAGTCAGATTCTGTATATGTTTTTGAACAAAAAGTCAACAAAATGCTCTTTAATATTACATAGAGTATTTAAAAAAGGCAGGTTTCAAAAGTGACTCCAAAGTGTTTGTTCTGAGCAACTAGGAAAAAAAAGGGCAGTTTCTAGTTACTGAGCCATGTATAGCTGGAGGAAGAGACCGCTTGGTGCTACGGATGGTCAGAATAGAGATTTATTGGACCTTTCCATAGTCAGTTTAGCCAATATCAGAGGCCTAATATAATAAAGTCTAAACATAAAGTCCAATGCGTGTAATACAAACCTCTTCTATTTTGTCTATATCATCTGGAATGTTGCTATATCTTGCTTGCTCCAATATTGCCAGGACAGAGGAGAGGGAGAGAAGACTCATCCCAATTTTCAACTGCCTCAGTTCACAAATGATAGGCATTACTTTTACTGAAGTCCATTGACCAGAATTAGTCACTTGGGCTGCCACCAAAATATTGGCAAGACAGGCTGGGTGTCTAAATGTTAGGAAGTATATATGATACTTGGGAGCACTTCCTCAACCATAGTCAATCCTTTAATCTCCTCTTAAACATATAGACTCTACTTAACCCATTCTCATTAGAGACAACCCTAAATCCCTTTCTCTGACTTCACCCAGTACAGAACAAGCTCTTTGAGAGATACTGACTAGTCTTTATCAGATACAGTGTGACTCCTCTTCATTCACACACGTGTTAAAGGACAAGTTATTCACCCTCCACAAATCCAATAATTGGCAGCGGATTAGGGACAGGATAACCACAATCAATAATCCCATTCATAACTGAAAAGAACCAGAGACACACAACATCTAGAATGCTGACCTTCAGCAGTTCTGAAATCTCACTGAGCAGATATTGTAAAGTTCCCCTACCCTATGATGGAGAAAGGTTTCTTGATTAGGGTTGCTAATGTCTAGGAAGAGTCCTTGGCCCATTGTATTGTTTCTGCTGGCTCCACCCTTTCTGAGGGTTTTGCTTTTTCATCACTATTCCCAGACACATTTTATGCACTATATGGGTAATAGTTCCTTCTTGAGGATTGTATGGTTTTCTCAGGTTGCATCCTACTCTTGCAAAGTTGAAGGTTAGGTTTATTTTGTCTTAAAGTGTCATAGACATTTTTCATTTAGAGTTTCTTTGGCAATGTTGTAATTTTAAAAATTTAGAAAGCTTCCCAACTATTTGCTATCCTCTAAGATTAAAAAACACACAATTTTAATTAGTTTGCATCCTCACCCCCAACTTAGAAGCAGTTGCCTTGATACTACCTGGAAAATACCTTAAAGACTACAAAGTCTGATTTTCGCCCTGTGTTCTTTATTCCAACTGATATTTACTGAGCCTCTGTCACTTAGTCATTTTAAATTTCATTTTATAGTGTTTGGGATATAGAAACAGTTAGCTCTTTCAACAGTTCAAGACCTTCTATTTCTGAACTCTATTCCCTTTTTATTTGTTTTCTAAGATACCATTTCCTTCCTACACTCATTAATTTCTTGCAATGCTTTGCTACATGTACCCAACATCAACCTAAAAATACTGCCAATATTCTATTTTCCAACCTTTTCTTCCATGTGTTTAAGAGAAACACAATCTGCATCTGAACTGTAACAGATGTCAGTTGTACCACATATTTTGCTACTTTGTAAAATGTCTCTTCATTTTTCCAGACAATGATATCCTTTTCTTTGTTTGCCATTAACCAGTTGCTGAGACTGTGCCACAATTTAGGTTCTTCTTAGAGCAGCACCTTACTTCAAGCTATCAAATTGTATTTTGGCATAAATGAGGCAAAGTACATTAATAAAATAACTTTAAAATCTTAGTAATGTTACTTGCTTTAAGATTTATTTTGTGTTTACATGAAGCCTTATTTATGTTAGCCATTTTCCTTCTCTTTGTGCCTACACCACGTGCCCCTGGAGCAGAATAAGAGAAATGGAGACAAGCTCACTTTTAAATGCCAGAATGAGGCACATGATCTTAACCTAACTTAACGGGGT